TGTGTATTTATTTGAAAACAACATGGACCGTTGCCTCAATCACATAGGATCATGTAGCGGATAATGTACTGCTATGCAGTAGTTTTGGGATTAATCTGATGTAATGGATTGCGTAGTGGTTATATAAGACATCACAATGTTTAATGGAGTTTGTTTTTTCAATATATTTGGATTAGTTTTGGATCAGTCCTAGTCTTTTAGGGAGTATTCTTAACACGTGTGGGCGGAGTAGTCTAAAGGTTTTCACTTTATAATTTGAAAACCTCCTTAAAATGTTGAAAAATCTTATAAAATTATGAGTCATTAAAAAAATAATAACTCAAATTCCCAAAAGTATCATTAAGTTCATATGTCCCTTCAATAAAATATGATTCACAATATCTAAGAATATAAAAACAAAAATTTTATAGTAATTATAAACTTTTTTTTAATAAATTATTGCATATATAAGAAAATACAATAAAAACTAGACCACACGCTAATCAACTAATCGATCAATTAAATGATAGTTCAACTTATAAAAATTACCCCCTTCTCCCACACTTGACTTGTAGCTTCTGCAGTTGTTTTATCTTTTGCAAATGTATTGTCTATTGTAAATTATTTAACATATGTTACAAAAACACCTTACTTATATCACAAACAGGTAGGTATTCGCCACTATTCCATCAATATTCCAGATATGCCTTTGGGTTTTCTATTCATAATTTATCAGATTCGTACATATCGTATGTACCTTTGATAAGATATCGCACGACGACGACGACCAACTATCGTAAAATATTTATTATGCTTATAATTTGCTATTATCATCTATCTAACTACATTTTTGGGTTTGGGTTTACAAACACAAATAAAATTCGAATATAAAAAAATTGCATACTTTTGAATTTTCATCGAATCAACAAAATCAGTTTAACTTGAACTGCGTAAGTGTAACGTTAAGGAAATTTATATTAAGTGAAAAAAAGAACAAATGTATATTCTAACGCCAGAATTGGAAAATGTTGCAAAAGAAAATTGCAATGAAACATTGGAATTACGCGAATCATCATTGGCTTCTCTAAAGGCCTGGCTTAAGAAAACACCACATTTAAAATCGCGCACAAATGATGAATTACTTTTATCGTTTTTGCGCTGCAGTCGTTACAGTTTGGAGGATACGAAAAAACGTATTGATGGCTTTTACTCGCTTAAAAATGTCTTCCCAGAAGTTTTATCAAATCGTAATATCGATGAGTCATTGATGGATTTATATCGTCAGGGGTAAGTTAACTATGAATGTGAAGAGTTGTGTGAAAGGTATTGGATTTTGGTAGTTGCATGTGAAATTATAGTGTATTTACGATATCATGAATGGTTCAGATGATAAAAGGTTCGGTTTTATGAACGATATTACATTGCATAAAGTCTTTGTGATATTAAGTTGTACGAGTCCTGTGGATTTAGGATCTTTAAAAGCAATTGAGAGCTTAATGTTAACAGAATATTTGAGGTAAATTGCTTCGAACACATTAATGAAGCACTTGGGGAATGGATAAAAAATCTTATTAGCTACATATAAAACGATTGGTATATCAGTTGTAAATTATGCTACTCTTGTGTGTGCTCACTTAGCAAAACCCTGTTATAAGACATTCAAATCTGCCAAAATGCTGCCCTAAGGACTACAACAGGCTTCTTACAAATTAGCTCAGAACATCACCTAACTACACATGGAAATGAAGGTCCTGTCCGTCAAGGCATGCAATATCATGTTGACTAAACAGTTCTTCCTGGGATGTCACCTGAGGAGTCATCCGAACTATATCTATCCGGGACCATGCGTAGTTGTGTCTAGAATTCGATAGATCAGTCCTCGTATGCCGCAATTTAGAACGACTATCATAGAGACGCCTTCAAAAAAACCTGCCGCGTAAAACAAAATTAGTTCTAGTACAACTAAGATCAGGATGGATCAACAGTTTTAATGCCAGCAAATATCCAGCTTGTTGTCAGAGTCTCCATGGTACCCACCACATAATCAACTGCTTTGCCAATAGTATTTCATTTTGCCCAATAGATTTATAGAAACATCGTGTTGAAATTTTTGGGCTTGGACATCGATGCTGAATCTACTAACTAGACTACCACATAGGTTTTGCTGTTACAACAACAACAAGACATGTTATCAATGTGAAGTGATCACATTCGACATGGTTTTGTATATAAGGGCGCGATCACATAATGGAAACTTAAATTGTCATCCTGTGGGAATTAGACAAAACGGGGATCTATACTGAAAGTCCGGAAACCGAGATATACTACCGTCAACCTATCCTCACTAGATCCCACATAGAATTACATGCTATTACGGAATTTGGAAAATGGAGTCGATTGAATATATCCCCTACAAAGGTTAACATATTTCCTACAGTCCTAAGGTAATTAGGACGATATCAGCTGATGAGGTTGAACCTAAGAATATCCTGCCAGTATCTTATGGGGTAACACAAGCGAGAGGATAACGATAAGTCTCCTCAAAATGATGATAAGTATTCTTAGAAGATACACAGGTTTACTGGCCCAAGTATACAAAATTGGACGAACGGATTCAGATTTTGAAACTGACGAATGCAAAACCATTCGTTGTAGCGCTGAATTTAAAACATAACCCAAAAAAGCCCATGATAATAGTGGGTAGGATCACTAACATACAATGCTGTGATCCAAACAAGAGGAGTCCAGGAATGTAGAGCATGCGGAGAAAACAGTGAAAATTTATTCGAGACTTTTGTCAAAATTTTATCCAAATATTTTGGGAGAATCGTTAATTCAATATCTGGATATAGCCACTATTATACGCTGATTAGAAAATCCTAATGAAATACAGTAGCAATATCCACCTAAACTGTATTTATAAACATTAGACTATTTCTTTCATAAAACCCTATATAAGGTTTTTGCTTCAAACAATGAGCATAACAGGTTATCAGTTAGCGCTCTGGGTATATATTTTTGGATCTGGTGTCTTTTAAATCTAACCTAAATACTCGTTAAATATTTCTAATTCCCCAACATGACTACTACCAAAATCACTTCTTACCTTCAGACAAATAAATATTCATTACGATAAAACTAATCTCTTAACATTTCCAGCATCCATACTATACCCATAAAACCTTTAAGTCCCAATGGACCACGCATTATCATTTCCCAGTACAGTAAATATGATCCGAAAAAAAGTAATCCCAGAGATGCATTCAAATTACTTTTTATGCTACTTGAAATATTGGCTAACGAAGATCCAAATACTAGTGTTGCTGGGGTGGCATATGTTATAGATGCCAGAGATGTTACGATGGAACAGATGTTACAGTATGATCCATATTTATTGAAGAAAACCTGGACATTAGTAGAGCATTGTTTGCCCATAAGATTTACGGAAATACATTTAATAAATATGCGTAAGGAGGGTCAGGCCATATTTAATTTTGTCACTACGTTCTTACCCGCCAAAATGCCCGTAAAGGTTGGTATCGAAATGTTTGGTTTCTTTATTATTGGAGACCAAACATACACTTAAAAGTGTCATATCGCTTATTTATTACAATACTGTCATAACTCAAAATTCTAGTTTTTTGATCTATCTATTGAGAATGACGGGAATTATGTTTCAAGCTACATAATCAATGCTTCGTTAACCTGGCTTAGATTTTAGCCATAGAAAGTACGATATATTGGATGAGATACTATAGGATATATGGGGGAAATATCCGAATTTGGACTGACAGCAAACCTACAATTAAATCTCTCTCTGGTGACTACTTAACATCCGCATTGGTTCATTAATGTCTCTTAACGAGATTATGCAAAATTCGAATCAGGGGTTGCTCTGGTTGTCTGGACACTCTGGGTTTTCCTGGGTTTTGCCGGTTCTTCCATCGATGATAAAGATATGTATTAATCGCAATAACGCTGTGAAACTCGCAAACAACAGGAACATTTTAGGCTACAGATCAGATGGTCATCCATCTGTTCGAAGGCGGGTCTGACATTTCTACGACAACTATATGTTGTCAAAATTGATGGGGCTTTCAAGAATGCAGCGGCGGATATTGGCTGCTGTGTTTATAGGCCATTTTTAAATATATGCGCATGCTAGGAGACTATAATGACTTCTGTATAAGTTGTAACAATGATGACGGATAGGAGAAGGTCAAACACTTTCTTTGTATTCTACTTTATTCGACATTAGATTTGTCCGAAATGACGTTCCTCTTCTGCATGATCTTTCAAGATAAGATTGCCACATTATCCACCATCGGAAATTAATTGTCTTAATGGTGGGAGGAGGTATGATCCGATAATTTATGTGTTATGCCAGTCTTGTAGTAAATGTGCGATATATTTATGGACTTCTGACAATCTATACTTTTGGGATAATGTATTAATTATGAACGTTTTGATATGAAAAATATATCTCGCCCATATAGTTCCTGAAAAATTTATCCCAATTTTAACAAAATGTCTTTTTATGTATTTAGTTTGTGGTGCATAAAAAAGCTGAGGATTTATATGACCATTTGCCACGGGACTCCATGACAGTCGAATATGGCGGCCACAATGGTTATCAACCGGAAGCATTAAAACATTGGGAAAATGTTATGCTTAAATACAAGGACTACTTTGCCGATGACGACAACTACGGCACTAACGAAAAGTTAAGATCGGGTATTATGGCCAGTGCTGAGGTTTCTGAACTTACCGGTTTAAGTGGTTCTTTTCGTAAATTGGAAGTAGATTAAAATTTCAAGAAAAGTATTTTTATAATTATTTTATTATTTAAAACTATATTAACTACTCGTTTTCTTAACCTAAGTTTATAAATTAAAGTACAATAATTTTTGTATATGAATAAAGAAATAATAAAATTATATAGTACTATTAAATCTTTGGTATATCATGTATCCGTTTTAAATTAATTTAATTTTTTTTTTGCTTCCTAATGTTTCTCTTCCTCAATAATTTATCTTACAATCATTAACTGCAGCTACAGTTACTAACAAAATTTAGTTTACATATTATTTATTAATTTAAGATTTACTCAATTTTTGGTAGAAACTGTTAAATTTTGTAAATCTTTTTTGCTAAAAAAAATTACAATATGTAATCCCCTCGAAAAACAAAATTCCTGCCTATTTGCCACACACATTTTAAAATTTCATGTTCTACATTTTTGCTTAAATGTTGCATTCAATGATGTATGAGTTGTACTGACTGATGCTGCTGATGATATCGATGCTGGTGTTGTTTTCGCTGATGAGGATGATGTTGATGATGAAGTCGATGTTATCGTTCCGACTGCCGTTATTCCATGTGCATTATTTGTTGCACTATGATGCTTTAATGCCGGATTCTGTGTGTTATTGATGTTACTGCTGTTGCTACAATTGCCGTTTAGTAGTGTCGTCGAGGATGTTGTACATATGTTGATATTTTGTACAATCAAATTGAGACAATCTAAACTGGAACCATGCGGTGATGATGACGAATCATAGGAATCTGCAAAGAGGTGGCAAAAGGAAATTGTTGGGTTTTAAAGATTAGCTTTTATATTGGAAATGAATTTGGAATGAATTTTATGGTTAATAATATTTAAAATATTTTTAAGATAATGTAAAATTATAAAAGTGATGCGTCCATGGAATTCTTAAGAATATAAGAATATAGAATCAACGCAGTTTAAATTAGAGCCCGTTAAACTTTGAGAGCTTATAACGTCTTAGAATGTTTAAGTTTCGAGGTATCGATTTGTCAATGCTGAAAACAGAGACTGGCTTAGATAAACTTGGTTTCTTAAACTCCACAATACTCTTATCCAGGAGTAAATCTAGGAGATTAGATTATAAGAATTAAATTTCTGGATGTCTACTGAAATCGCATCTCCAATGTATTTAATCGAAATTTCTTAACAGATGCGTGTACATTCTGGAACTATTTATTGTGTTGACATAACAAAATCCGGGAAAATAGTGACTAAAAGGTTCATTCTTTAATGGAAATATTATTTAAACAGATGTTCTTATTTTCCCTTTTTAATGTTGTGATTATGTTAATAAAGTTTGGTCCAAATGCTATTTTCACACAGATTGATTGTCATACCTCCGCGGACTAAAATAATTCACTTTATATGGAACATCCTTGACAAATACTGTTTCCAAAAGGAATATAGTGTTGCCCAAAATGTGCTTTTAGAAAAGAAGTTTTTCAAACAAATTGGTACGAATACTTTTAAAGTATTCGTCGTCGTAGGGCAAGTACCTCATCGGTAAATATTGTGGCTACTGTGACCAAAAGTGTATAAGTAATGAAAACGTGCGCTGCAGAGTCATGGTTACGGACTTTTTATGGGCCTAAATGGAAGATATAAACTTGAACCTGCGCTTTAGAGACATAATTGCGGACTTTTTATGGGCCGATGGGAAGATATTAACTTAAATGGCACACCCTGAAATCGTAGTCGATGGCGTTAGTCGTGTTGGTCGGGACAAATTGCCGCATCGCTAATGCGATTTGACACTTTAAGACTTTTTCTTGTTAAAATCCGATGTTATGTGAATAATTCTTGTTAAAATCCGATGTTATGTGAATAATTCTTGTTAAAATCCGATGTTATCTGAATAATTCAGAAACGATCCATACACTAGGGAAGAAGCAAACTCCCCGATTTTGACGTTGATCTCCGGAACTGTTTGTGGGAAAGCATTTTGAAGACTATACTAGTTCTAAGGAATGGAACCAGTTCTCCACTCTATGAGGAACCAATTCCTTACTCAATAATGTTTGTTTGAATTTGTCACTCATGGAACTAGTTTTTTAGAAGCCTTAGACAACTTACAAACCTTATTTAGAACACTTATGGGCCCAATTTTTTTTTCAGCGATTTTTATTTGTTTAGATTGTTAAATTTGGGACCAAATTGGAGAAACAGTTGAAGAACTATCATTGGCTTAATTATATTCAAAAAAGCGTATAAACGATTTAATGTCATAGAATTATTTTATTTAGGTGGATAGTTCCTCAACTAGTTTTAGAACTTGGAACTAGTTTTGCGAAAGCGTAACATAATCGATATTCATTCTACAGGACTACTATGGGGGATAAAAGAGAAGAAACTCTGATGGTTCTTTTGGGGCTTGGTAAAAAGTTAAAAAAGTTTTATGTATATGAGGGATTTCATGTCAAGTGACCCAACTATTGAAACCGATGTGTTCCGATTGGGATTTGCGCCTATTTTACATTTTTGCCGAACGTCGCGCCGCTCCAAGTTCAAATATCGGGCGTAATATTAAAAGCATTGATTTTTTAGTTTTGAAACTTTTAAGTCTTGGGAACATATATATATCTGATTCCTAGAAATGATCCTTAACTATTTTTAACAAGTAGTTTATTTTGGAATATGAGTACTTTCAATAAGATTTCTTTCATAAAATAGCAAATCCTATTAATATATAGCAAATACCTGTCAATCCGCTGGCATCATAATTATCATGTAGATTATATTTATGAAACATATACGCACCTGTATACGAATTCTGCAATAAAATAATAAAAAAACACTAATTAGAAATGATTAAAAATATATTAAATAAAATAAACTAAATACATAAAACCTAAAAATAAAGCAATTAAGACATAAAAAACACATGCATATAAATTATAATTTAAATCTTATTTATGTTAAATTCAGCACCCATTGCCAACATCAAAAATACACACAATTATCCTTCATCATACAGCAAATTGTTGTTCAAAAAATGCATTTTTACAAATGCATTTTCATTAATCCACACAAAACTTATCTACAAAACAATAAATTTCTCAAATAACATAAAATTAAAAAAAAGAAAAAATAGTCGGTGCAACGTTTTCTTCAAATAATAAAAATTTTGTATATAATTTTTTTCTGTAAAACAACAGAAAAGAAAAATTTAGTCTAATGACGAGTTAAAGCCAAAATTTATGTTTTATAATTGTTGGCAAATATTAGACAATGCTGTTCTGTTGTTAAGTACTATGCCCGACAAAGCCAGAGGTACTTAAACTGATCTAATCATAAAACGATCAATGGTAGGCGATCGATTTTACTGTGAATATATCAATTGATTTTAAGCTTAAAATTTACGCATAAAAATTATTTATTATATTCTTATACGTTCTTGAAAATTTCTAATAAAAAGAATGCTAAAGATCCCTAAGACCTGCACCTTAAAAAAAAGCATATATTTGAGAATCACTTGTTATGCAGATTATGTATGTTTGCATGTAATTTTAAACGTATTTATAAGTAGTATATGCCTCCCAAAATGTAAATCCAATTAAAATTCATTGAACCACAACCGCAAGATGCCAACAAATTTTACAAATTATTGCAATTGTTCTTTCTTTCTTTTGTCTGTAGATCTGTCCGTCCTTCCCCCTGCTTGTCTATACAATTACTTTTCGAGGGGAATTCTTGTTGGGGACTTATACTTATTAGCAAATTAAATTAATTTTATGTTATATTTTCAAAACAACTTTAGCACATTTTACAATATTGTTAATTTATTTTTAGATTTTTTTGTGTAGTACTGAGTATTATTTGAATACGCAGACGACATGACGTCAAATTGTAATAAAAATGCTAAATAATTTTAATATCAATATTTTTAACAATAATATGATATTTATAAGTAAACGGTATTGTTTGAAAATTCTCTATTTCTATAAAGATTTAATATTCCCAAGTTTAACTTCTATTGGATCTTCTTTCTTCGAGAAAAAATATTGCTGTTTAAGATATTTTGAAGAAGAAGAACAGAGGTTAAACCCCTTTATTTTAAAGTCGTTGTATTGAACTTTCAGATTTTAAAAATAAAGGTCACACAATATCTTAAAAGGATTTCAAAATTTTTGTCCAAAGAATTCCACCAGATTAAAGCAAGTGTGTCATAATAGGGCAAAGACCCCAAGTTGAGCCATAATTCTTTTACATCGATGTGATTTGTTGACTCCTTCTATCCCCTATGTGGTATTTCAATGTTAGTTTCCCCATTAAACATAATGCCTACACAGAGTAAGAAAAATATACACGGCTGGTACCAAATTGACACCAAATTTTTCAATAACATCCGTTGTCAAGTATATACATACATAAGTATATACATATATAGACTTAACAAACGTGGTAAGCTCAAAATGCGTTGTAAATAGCGAGCTTACCACGTTTGTTAACATTTAGACAACGGATGTGCATAAAGTTTATATTGCGACAACGAATTTTTGCAATGTTGACAAAGTTGCGTAGTCTACATTACATGTTGTTGTAACGGAAAAATTTTTATTGAAAAATTTGGTGTCAATTTGGTACCAGGCGTGTATATTTTTTCAGTATATGCGGACATTTTTGTCAATCTTGTATTTAGGACCCCAGACCCTCTTTGGATCCTTGCCTCATAAAAGTATTAAGACATCGTTTGCATAACATAATGTTCTAAATCATTCATCGGTTAAGGTCCTTAGGAGGCTATTAATCGTGATTACACAGAGTAATGGCGATAAAACGCCACCCTGTGATGTACCTCTATATATCCTTTTTCTTATGGATTTCTATTTCGGTCTACCGATTACATCTCTAGGTGCTGTTGCCAAATCAACAGAAGACTTCCTATCTTCGTGGTTATAAATAGAAGTGATGTGCTTCTACATGGATCGGCACGAATGTCGAGAGTTTAATGTGAACGCCTGCCTTGACGGCCTAATTTCACGGTGGTCTTTTCGATCCACTGGGTAGACTAGAGACGGTCTACCACGCGCCCCTGAATTCTTCAATGAAGAACTCAGGTAGCAATTTTTGTACATGGCTGATCCGGTCCATGTACAAGCACTTTGTTAAAGAACTCGAGCTATCTAATCTCTTGCCATAGTAGCCCCGTTGCGGAATGACAGGCAGCATGGGATCAATCCCAATGCAAACCCCGACAAGGAAAAAGCAATCACTGGTCTAAAGTCAATAGAAGGGGGTGACAAGTCCCAACATCAGGTGAAATCAATCTTCCGGTAAGCCGGAAGGTGACCACCCTTATGATGTCATGAAAGATTGCATTATTCAAAATGCAATCCCCATCATCTAATGACCCATTCCAGTGCATTCCTTAACCTCTTTAAGCCCGCGCAACCACACTACTGTTTTGGCAACAGCACCTAGAGACATATTTGGTAGTCCGAAATACCCAACAAAATGGATCAGGATCCCTCTTTTATGAACCGATCAATGTAACAAAGGAAATAGGTATGTCCAAAGTCAATTAATTCCAATAATTGTCCCGACAAATTAGTCGCGTAGCATGTATCAATATATCCTGTTGAGATGGCAACAGCACCGAAGAACTTTCCCGAAGCGTAAAAAGACATACTAAATCAGTACTAATCTTCAATATATGGAGACTTTCCCAATCTTTCACCAATTTTTGCATCAGTTCCATTCCCATGATCATAAAGATCGCTCTACGGGATGACAGGCAACCATTGAATACTAACAATTGAATACTAAGTAACTACCGGCGTCCCACTACACGACCGGTAAGAAATACCGATCGGGTTTAGGAATCCAGCATATGGTGCTTTGTACACAGACCTGTTCGAAGAGAGAATTATCCAACCCATTAGGTATAGGATATATCAGTCCTTAAACCAGTGATGCCAGGAGATTTTTTTCAGAAATCCCTACGCTTATGAGAAAAAATCCCTTTTTTCCCTACACCCACTTTTTATTTTCCCTACATTTTTCCCTACACTACTTTTTTCCATTTTTTTCAAAGTTTATCTTAAAAAAGTACAAAAATAACATCAAAAACTAAAATATTAGCTCCGTTTTATAATATACATATATGTATGTATTTTTTTTTTTTAATTTTTAGGAATGAAATTTCTAGAATTTAAATTTAATTTTTTTTTTTCTTTCAATTTTACATCATACAAATCTTCCAACCCTGACTCTTCAGTTAAGATTAAAAAAAAACAATTGAAAGATTTATGGCAGTATATCGAATTGTGATAAAAATTTATTTTATGTGCCTCCAACAAAAAAATTTTCATAAAATAATTATTTTAAATAAGGTTTACTTTTGCGTTTACTTTTTGCGGTTTACTTTTATAAATTTTCAGAACATTAAATTCATTTTTTCAATCCTGAGTTACTGCATTAAGCCCCCGACTACTCTATCTATAAGGAGTCAGAATATATCGCCCTACAGGATTGGCATAATCCAAAAAGTCGTTTCAAGAAAAATGGATATGAATATTTAATGACATTTAACTATTTTTTTAATAACTTTTAAACAAATCAAGGGGTTTTAAAAATCCAGATTCAGATAGTTGAGGTTAATATGTTTCTCATCTAAATTAAAATTAAATTTTTAGTTGTCTAATATTCACAAAAACGTGGGTTTTAGTTTTTACGTTTACAAAAAATCAATTTCACATCGAAAATAATAGACATATTTGAAATTTCATAAATCTATATGAAAGATTTTAGTATGTCGCATGTTTTGAAGACCTTAGTTCAAGAAAGCCGAATTTTGGATTATGCCAGTCTTGTAGCGATATGTAGGTACATATATTGTAGAAATTACAAGCGGAATTTTTACTAACGATACACTCAAAACTGATTTCATTTTTAATTTAAAAGTTTAATACATGAAAGAGTATATTTTTAGTTGTTAAAAACTATGAAATTGAAAAATCCCTACAAATTGACAATAGTAAGAAATCTTTCCCTTTTTCCCTACACGTGAAATTTTTGAAAAAAAATCCTACAAAAAGGGAAAAATCCCTACACTTGGCATCACTGCCTTAAACCAACATTCTCTCCCCGCGATTTTGAGTATTAAACCACAGCCACTACGTGGATCCCGAAGGAATCTCAACCAATTGACCGGTCAGAACTAGGTCCTGTGGGCAACCGGCCACCCGTAGTGCCAGATTATATGGTGCTCTGGTTAGACCCCATGCCAAATCATTCCAAAATTTAAAGAAATTTTTAAAGTTTTTTTTTAAATTTAATGTCTTTTCATTAGTTTTTTTTGGAAACCGAATTATTCTTTAGGATATTACTATTTATTGTAAGTTTTGTAATACATTTTAAAATCTTTTGGATTAAAAAAAAAAACATTTCATAAAAATGTAGTCCATTTAAAAAACTAAAACATATGGTGCATTTTACAAGTGCACTTTATTTTACGATTTGGGTATTTCCCCAAAACCCCTTTTCTTTTAACCAACACATTGTTGTCGGTATTAAATGAATGAGATGTATAGACTAAATACATATTAAAAAGAAAACATGACTTATGAGATTAAAATTTAATGTTACACAATTTTATTACAGAAAAAAAAAACTTAAAAAAAGAAATATGTTATAAAAAATAAAACATTTATCATTTACAATAAAGAACAGCAGACAAATGGACGCTTTTAAAGACTAAACGAAAAGA